CAATATGTATTTATTACCCTCTATTTCCATTAGGATGTGTACGCGAGAGCCGCCTTCTATAACGATTGGATCCGCACCACCATGAACGGGTGTACAATCGCCTAGACATTGGACACCTCTTATCTGTGCACTGAGGGAAAAGGCATTTTTCAAACCGACAGTGGATTTTTTTGTTATGTATATCGAAAAGAAATATAAAACATGATTTGTTAAGTTGGCAATGAATTCTTATTATCAAATAGACCGATTACATTTGATTTATTAAATTGGCAAGGCATATATTCATTATATACTGACTACCTTGGGTTCAACATAATGTGTGTGGCACTTCCAAAATTTTAGGGCGTAAAGATTTAAATCCTCCCATTTTTTTGATAGTGTTATTTGAATATAGTACACTATTCTAAATGGAAAAAATATAATATATAAATGATAACTTTTTGATTGGCCTAAAATGTACTTTTAGAGCTTTTACCGGTTTGAAATAGTTTCGTTTGATACATTCAACTTACAAAACTTTTCAACAATTAAACCTTTCTCAAACTTTTTTTTATAAATCGATTTGATGGAAATTTTATTAGTTATTAGATACGTTCCATTATCTTGAATCTGTTTAAATCGAAGTCAACCTGAGTGTAACCACAACTGGAATAGCAGAAAAACTATTATGATAAGCTTGTTGATAGCCTGAACGATAGAGACCCAACACACATTATAAATATTTGTTTTTTTCAAGTGTAGGCACAGGTACTCATGATTTGTGTTGGTGATTTAATAAAAATTATGGGATTTTTACGAGGGGAGAGTTTTTGGTTTTTTGCTCAGGCTGACCATGATTGAGATTGCACAACCTTTATGACAGATCATTAATATCACGCCAGCTATCTTATATCGTATATTGAATATCGTATATCGAAGGTTAGTTGATTTTCAGCTGCAATTTCGTGCAATTAGTCCAACTTTAGCTGTTCGTCAAAGATGTCTTTCCAAATCAGAACGGTCTCCTTGGTCGTCCTCGTCCTGCTGGCGATATCCTTTTCGGAGGCTAGTCTTCGTCGTCGCGCTGTTTCCTCAGACTCTGCTCCTTCCGCGGAGAAGTTTAGCTCCAGAATTATTGGAGGAGAAGTATCCGATGTCCTGGCGGCTCCCTATCTAGTCTCGCTGCAAAACGGCTATGGGTATTGACTTTTAAAGAATTATATCTAAAGATAGTGCTGTAACTCTCATGATTTTCTGATATTTTTTTTAATACATTAACTAAGACTATAGGTAAAAGCGTTCCTTTTCTAAATATGTTAATTTATAACATTACGTCCTTTTCGAGTTTTAAGGACAAGGAAGTAAATGAATTGTGATTTGATTTCTAACATTTTTCTAAAAATGTTAAGTTCTTGTTTTTGTTTTCGATTTTTTAAGCATATAATTTTATTTTGACAGAGAATTTTAACAGTAGTTTTTTCCTTACCATTTTAGGTATGGTCGATACTTATAAAAATTATTATTCGCATTTCTATCATATTCTATGTAACCTCTTTCAGCAACCACTTTTGTGGCGGTGCCATCATCGCAAATCAGTGGGTGGTGACCGCAGCAAGTTGCCTGGGTGGCTTGCGTAAGAACAATGTGAAGGTGGTAACCACTACCTACAACAACTGGGGATCGGCTGGCTGGGAATACTCCGTGGAGGAGATCGTCTTGCACTGCAACTTCGATAAACCGATGTACCACAATGACATTGCCTTGATCAAGACCCATGCGCTTTTCGATTACGATGATGTGACGCAGAATATCACCACCGCTCAGTTGCAGGATTTAACGGAGGGTGAGACGCTGACCATGTACGGATATGGAGCAACGGATGTCAGTTTTGATTTGTCGTGGGAGCTGCACCAACTGGATGTGACCTATGTATCGCCGGAGAAGTGCAACTCCACCTACGGCGGTACTCAAGATCTGGATCTGGGTCACCTGTGTGCCGTGGGAAAGGTGGGAGCCGGGGCCTGTCATGGGGATGCCGGAGGACCCCTTGTGGACAGTCGTGGTCGCCTGGTGGGCGTTGGCAATTGGGGCGTACCCTGCGCCTACGGATTCCCCGATGTCTTTGCCCGCATAAGCTTCTACGACAGCTGGATTACATCCACGATCAACGGTTGTGCTATTTCCTAATCAATAAAGTTGGATAAAACTTGTGGTACGTCTTTATCTATCAGATATGGTGAGACAGACTTTTCCAAATAGAAAACTCCTAAAGATACTACACACATTTTCGATCTAGTGTCTGTATTTTTGAATCAATAAAAAAGAGTAATATGTGTGGTCGCTTCTGATGTATTAGTTGTTTTGCCCTTTACTTTTCCAAAAAAAAGTGGCTACAATTTATCTTTCATGTTTCCTAAGATAATTCTTAAAATTATGTCAGAGTCCAAAACCCGCTATTTAGGCATTAAATTGCTGGTAAGAGATTAAATTGAAGTCTTGATAATCCCTAGACCAGACGTCTGCATGTTGTTGTAATTTTTGTGTGATAAGTGAATTGTCAAAGTTTCATTGAAGCCATAAAATCCATTGGTTTTTCAGAAATAATAGAATACTCTACATAAGTAGTATATTTCCCTGCCCTAGGACGCCAAATCAAGTTGTATTTATATTTATCTGAGTTTGATAAAAATTCTTATATACATAGTGTATTTAACTTACACCCTTATCTAAATTATTTTTTAATACGCCGATTAATACTCTTTGTGATTGTACTATCTAGAAAGTTATATATTTCTTCAGAGCATGTCTACCCTAAGGGTATGCCAACTTCTGTATCTTTAAGAGGCCTTCAATCATTTCCCAATTATTTCAGCTGAATTTTGAGTAAACTTCCATTCGATTACGGCCCTATCAAGCGACATCGTCTGAAGATCTCCCTAGTACAATTCCAACCACGAACAAAGTCCGTAACCATTGCGTATGAGTAATCTTATTGTGGTCGTGTGCTAGTTGTCTATCACTCACAGTCCAAATGGTAGTAGAATTCCCCCCCTATCGGGCACCATATATTGGCTATGGTAATTGTCATTATCAAAGCTTCCCCCGAAACTAAGTCGCTTATCGCAAAAAACATATTCGAAAGAAACTCTCGGCGCGATAAGGAGAATTCGCATAGACCCGGCTATAAAAACGATTGCGGTGCCGAAAAGTGTGCAAACAGTTTACAGAAGTTGAAGAAAACGCAGCACTTAGAAATATTTAATACATACAAAATAAGAGATAACTCAACATGAAATTCCTAGTACTGATTAGTGTTTTGGTGATCCTGACGCAGTGTTCGGCGAAAAACATTAAGATCAGCCTTCGTCATCAGTTAAATCATCATTTGGGTTACGTTAAACCCGAGACCCGTGTGGTTGGTGGCGTGGATTCCCCCACTGGATTCGCTCCCTACCAGGTGTCCATTATGAACACCTTTGGCGAGCATGTCTGCGGCGGCAGTATAATTAATGAAGAGTGGGTCCTCACCGCCGCCCATTGCATGGAATGGCCCATTCAGTATCTGAAGGTCATCACCGGCACCCTGGACTTCACGAACCCTGGAGCGGAGTATTTGGTGGATAAATCGAAGGTTCATTGCAGTCACGACAAGCCGGCCTATCACAATGACATTGCCCTGATTCACACGGCCAAGCCCATAGTTTTTGATGCACTAACTCAACCGATTCGGCTGGCCAGCAAGGGTAGTCTGCCCAAGGCAGGGGATAAGCTAACACTGACCGGATGGGGCAGTACCAAGACCTGGGGAAGGTATTCCACCCAGCTGCAGAAGATCGAATTGAACTACATAGAGCACGATACCTGCGAGTCCAGCGTGCGAAATGCCAACTGGCTGGGCGAGGGACACGTGTGCACCTTCACCCACGAGGGCGAGGGATCCTGTCATGGCGATTCCGGCGGTCCCCTGGTGGATGCCAACCAAACCCTCGTCGGAGTGGTCAACTGGGGCGAGGCCTGTGCCATTGGCTATCCGGATGTATTCGGTTCGGTGGCCTACTACCACGATTGGATCGAGAAGATGATGACCGATGCGGGAACCGCCTGTTAAAAGTCCAAAAGTCACCCGAGGGGGTACAATCGCCAAAAAACCGAACAAAAATAGCACCTGCCATATAATGGCTCCTGGCTATTGAACAAATTAGCTCGTAAATTTTATCACTCAGGTATCATAGATATCATAAATTATTTATGAACAAATAAATGAGCAATTACGCTTCACTTTTAAGTTAAAACTCTTTTATGACTTGCTTTTTACTTAAGAAGAGGTTTATTTTGACTTTTTCTTAAAAGGGATAGCAGTCTTTAAGGCTCTCTCCAAAAGAAATCCCCCACTTTAAGGTGTCTAGATAATTCCACATGCCAGTCATTCTTACGATCAATCATGATATTTCTATTCGCAGAACTGAGTCAGAAAACAAGTAAGCGCCAGTTCGGAAGAAGTGGGATATCAGGAAGTATTGGTTATCAGTCTTCCAATTACCTAATTTAAAGATAAGAAGCACTACTTTGATTGGTTATGGAAGTAAACAAGTTTTAACTAAGTAGTTTCCAGGAGGTTCTGTCTCTTTCTCAAATTTTTATATTATTAAATATAGCAGCTTTGAGTACCTGTTTATTATAGCCTAACACTAAACATAGAAAAATCACTATTATTTTAAAATATACATTCAAGATCCAATTATAAGTATTTCAAGATATACAATTGTAGTTTATTTCCACAAACGGTTCAAAGCTGTACTTATTGAAAAAGTACTCTTATCAAAATATTTGAATTCTTTGTTATGTAAATTCAAGTTTATTTGATAGCCTAAGCCACCCTACTTATCAGGCTAACCTTGTTTTGTGACAAGTGCTTGCCTAGAATTAAGTGTTTTTCAACAACTCAGCTGGACTTTTCCAACCAGGAACGTGACTGAATTACTAATTGCATAAGCCAAAATCAGCCTATAAGAAACATTTTCAGATGGTGCAAAGTTCAGTTCTTCAAAAGTAAAGGAGTCATTATGTTGTTAATTCTACTACCACTAGTTCTGTACAGCTCTTGTGCCTCTAGTCAGATCCTTTATCCACCGCAGTACACCAATAATCGAATTGTGGGCGGCGAGGAAGCCCCCGAGGGCATGGCACCTTACCAGATTTCCCTGCAGGGAGCTGGAAATGGAGCCCATTCCTGCGGGGGTGCTATCATCGATGAGCGGTGGATTATAACGGCGGCTCACTGTACAAGGGGAAGACATGCGTCGGCTTTTCGAGTACTTACTGGCACTCAAGACCTGCATCATAATGAGTCGAAATATTATTATCCTGATAGGATCGTAGAGCATAGCAATTATGCGCCTCGCAAGTATCGCAATGATATCGCCTTGCTGCATCTGAACGAGTCGATTGTGTTTAATAATGCCACTCAGCCGGTGGAACTGGATCATGAGGCCTTGGTTCCCGGATCCCGACTCCTTTTAACCGGCTGGGGAACCCTCTCCCTGGGAGGAGATGTCCCCGCCCGTCTGCAGAGTCTGGAGGTCAACTATGTGCCTTTTGAGCAGTGTCGAACAGCCCACGATAATAGCACTCGGGTGGATATTGGCCACGTTTGCACTTTTAATGATAAAGGACGTGGGGCATGTCACGGCGATTCCGGTGGTCCTTTGGTGCACAATGGCAAACTGGTGGCTCTGGTCAATTGGGGTTTGCCCTGTGCTAAAGGTTATCCAGGTAAGAGTGATCTTATATGATGTTTTCTATTATTATATCTTATTTATTGCGTTTTTTAGATGCCCATGCTTCCATTGCTTACTATCATGACTTTATACGCACTCACCTTAGTCTTTCTAAGACGGACAGTTCTGATGAGAATACAGAGGAGATTATCATTGTCAAAAATTAAGATCTAAAATTGAATTGAGTTTAAGCTGATAAATGGGACCTTTCTTATGCAACCTTTTTTATAACTTTAAAATCCTGAAATAAAAACAGTACATTTTGTCATTTATATAGGAAGCCTGTTCTTACTTGTTCATCAAAACATGCCGAAAGCAACAATGTAGCTTTATTTTTAAAAAACTTAGCAAAAATCATAAGTTTTTAGAAAACACAAACAAATTCATTTACCAATTACGGCAAAGGGTGGATTGGGTGCAGTCTGGAGATGGAGTTCCGTAACAATGGAAAGGTGTTCTGGAACTTGGCAAAGGGTTCGGTTAGGCAGCAGATTCGACATGCCGCCGTCAAGAAAATGCTTATCGCCAGCTTTAGCACCACCAAGGAACATTCGAACTCGGATCAACCAAATCTTCTAAAGTACCACGTTCTACCACTTGAAGAAACCCTGAAAAGGTTTTTGACCACTGTTGAACCACTGCTGACTCCCGAAGAGATGGCCAAGCAAAAGGACTTGACTGTTAAGTTCTTGAGGAGGGAAGGCTCCGATTTGCAGAAGCTCCTGCAAGAAGTTGGCCGTAAGGAGAAGAACTGGTTGGCCCACCGCTGGCTTAAAGTGGCCTACCTACAGTTTCGATCCCCAGTCACTGCCTTTGTGAGTCCCGGCATGACCTTTCCCAAACAGTGTTTTCAAAATGAACACGAGTTTGTGGATTATACGTCCAGAGTTATCTTTGGATTGGGTGAGTTTAATGACATGGTGCATGCCAAGAAAATTCCGATTGTTAAGATGGGCGCAAATGAGTTGGACAACAGTCAGTTTGGCAAGGTATTTGGGACATGTCGAATACCCAGAAGAACTACCGACGATATCGTCTATAATCCATGCTCTGATTATGTGGTGGTGATCTACAAGAATCATTTTTACCAACTCAAAATATATGATAAGGAGGGAAAACTTGTTATAGCTCCCTGTCTGGCTGTTCAACTGGAAGAAATCATGTCGAAGGAAACCAAACTGGGAATTCCCTATGGTATTTTGACCACCGACTCGAGGGACAACTGGGCCGAGGCCTACGAACATCTCGCAGATAGTCCTCGAAACAGGGAAGCTCTAAAGACAATACAAAATGCTTTATTTACTGTCTCCCTCGATAAGTGCACCTCCCCAAAGGAAGGTAGGGAAGATGAAGAGCTAATTCTTTCCCTGATCCATGGAAAAGGAAGTTATGCCAACAGTGGTAATCGCTGGATGGATAAAACTATTCAATTGGTGGTCAATCCGAATGGAAACGTGGGATTCACCTATGAGCACTCACCAGCTGAAGGCCAGCCCATCGCCATGATGATGGACTATGTGGTGAAGAAGTTGGACGATGATCTTAGCTACGGGGAATGCGGATCAGAAGACTTTACGCGTGCTCAGAAAATACAGTTCTGTCCGGTTAGTAAATGCGTTGAGCAATGGCTGACTATAGCGCAAAGAAACATTGATAAACTTGCCTGCGCTCTGCAAATCAAGGTTCTCAGGTTCGAAGGATATGGCAAGGACTTTATTAAAAAACAGCGACTTGGTCCGGATAGTTTTATTCAGATCGCCCTTCAGTTGGCCTTCTTTAAGATGCACTCTGAGCCAGCTGCCCAATATGAATCGGCACATTTGCGAATTTTCGATGGCGGTCGGACTGAAACTATACGTTCCTGTTCCAATCAATCCTTGGCCTTCTGTTACGCTATGGAGGATCCGGGTTTTTCTGTTCGGGATCGGGCTGATAAACTTCGTGAGGCGGTTATATGTCATCAAATGTATGCCAAACTGGCCCTTCAAGGCAAAGGAGTCGATCGTCACCTGTTCGGACTGAAACTGATGGCTGTGGAGAATTGTCTGCCCATTCCAGAGTTCTTCACATCGCCAGGATATGTAAAGTCCACTCACTTCCGCATGTCGACCTCCCAGGTGGCCACGAAATATGATGCTTTTATGGGTTACGGTCCCGCCACGGACGATGGGTATTCCTGCTGTTATAACCCACGAGAGAATGACATTATTTTGGCCATATCTGCGTGGCGCCATTGTCAGGTAACAGATCCCATTAAGTTGGCCAAGATCCTTAAGCAGTCCTTTACTCAAATGAGGGAGGTTCTAGAAAACTGCCCAGATTCGGGAGAGAAACCACCTGCGCCTAATTGCAAACTTTGAACATGTTTTTGATTGTCCACTTTCATTTTAAAATTATTAAAGTATTTTATAACACCATGCAATCAATGTTTATATAAGAATAAAATAAAGAATCAACGCACAGAGAAATCAACTTTATGATAGGGGTATATTCCATTATAATCATCTAGAAATGGACTCTAGAAATTGGGGGTTTCCTTAGCAACCACTTTTAAATACTTGTTTAATCAAAAGAACAATTTTTTTAACAATTGTATTTTAATACAAAATCTGGTAACAATTGGCAATCACTTAAAACTAAGAGGTGTTGATGACAGCTAACTAGATCTGGATGTGACGAGCAATGAAGAATACTTAGAACTGATTCGGCGGCAGGTAATGGTTGCCGATGGGACCTACTCCAGAATTTCCAGCGCTATTGTCCACAAAGTGACCCTCTGACTGCTGCTGCTGCTGCTGCTGCTGCTCCTCCTCTTCCTCCTCTGGAGGATCCAAGGATCCAACCACCGAGGTAATGGGGGCCACGCCCTCGTCGGTAATGGTGGAGCTACCTCCCAGGGTGTCGTACTGCGACTGAATCTGCCGCTGGGCATTCAGGGCCTCCTCTGGAGTGCGGTACTTGATGAAGAACACCTCTGGTTTGTTGATGTGCTGCGGCGTCTCGGCAATGGCATCCTGCAGATCAGAGGCGGTCGTCTTCTTGGCCAGCACATAGACCACGGTCTTCTCCTGCTTGAGGGTCTTGGCCAAGTTAAGAGCAGCCGCACGGTTCGTCTGCGCCGGAGTCTTTACAAATAGCACATTGTAGTGGTTGCGTGGCTGCTGGGCCAACTGGTTCAGTTCGTCCTGGACCTCATCCTCGGATTCCTCTGGCGCCGAGTGGATGAAGAAGTTCTTGGTCACAATGGGACGCTTGGGAATCCTCACCCGTGGACGGGAACGTCGATGCTGCTGGACGGGAGCGGTCTGGAAGTTGACGGGGAAGCCGGTGGGCATGGGGAATGATCCGGAGGTGGGACGAGGAGCAGGCTGGGATTGGAACTGGCCACCGGGAGGCAGATAGGGCAGTGGCAGAGGCGGCAGCACTGGGTGGGAGGATTGGTGGGACTGGAGCTGCTGCTGCTGCTGCTGGTTCAACAGGTGGGCCACCACTGGTGGCTGCTGCTGCTGGATGCGGTAGTTGTAACCCGCCTGGGTCAAACTGATGTCAGCCTGGATGAGGCTCAGGCTCAGGGCCCCCATCAGAACCGTCTGAAAAATAAGTATTCATTATAATCCTCTGTGATCCATTTGGGTTAGGGGTTATCCATGGGCCAACGCACCACAAATATCTTCATGCTGTCGCTTGGGTGGGTGTCTCTCTGCTGGTTAGCTGTCTTTGCCGGATGCTCCCTCGCTGTCCGAGTTTCTTATTGCTGTGATGATGGGTCAACTGGGCACCATGGCTTTTATACCAATCTCCAGTCACAACTTGTTTATAATCGGAAACAAATCGTGAAACAGCAGCCGACACAGTTGCAACAGTCAAGGGGTCATAAAACATTTGTTATGCATGGCGAAGAGATGGTTTCGGAGCCATCTGGTTGGGTGGCAAGTGGGCTTTTGTATAAACTTTACAAGGGGTTCCCCAAACGTCGAGCGAGAGGAAATCCAAACAATGGGCGATACACATAAGGGAAAAAAAATCAGCAATCGTTGTAAGCAAGTTGGTGAAGTTGTAATCACATTATTTCGAACATTCGCTTCAAAAATATGATCTATTTGGGAAATAACTTTATAGAGTAGAAATGAAAATGTTTTAGGAAGTTTCGTATCACTTCATGCTTATATTGCTTGGGACAAGGATTATAGTATTCCATTTCAGATTTTATCTATCTTAAAAAATTGTAATATTTTTAAGATATCTTAGCCACTCTACCATGGTTGCCTTGTATGCAATCAAACCCTCATTTAAATTAATACAAAAGTATTATTATTCCTCAATTTTTGCAGGTCAGTTGAATGTCGCAGAGTGATATGTAAATATTGATGACGAAGATAGGCGACGAGGTTACAAGCCTGAATTAAAATGCACTTTTGTCCATAGGACCATTGTCTATACTTTGCTTTATTGTTCGAAACTTGTGCTATCAAATGGAAATTGAAAATTGTATATTCGGGGACTACAATATTTCGCATCTGTTTTAGTCTGGCCCAAGGTCTAGGTCTTTGTATCCATTCGATGGGGCGTAAATATAATCAGCTCCAAATGTGCCAAATTGAGACAAAATGCTCGTATATTTGGAATCGGAATTGGTATCGGTTGTCGAACTAAAGAAGTGAAGGTAAATCACCAGATAAAATCGAAAGTAAATCTTGTCAATTGGATGTGGCCAGCTTCCAGCGGAAATTAGTTGTCATAACAAACACAAAACAGATGCATACGGAATGAGACCAGATATAGGGCCTTTTAGGGCTAATTGCCGGGTCTATTATAATGGGGTGATTGTGTGCTGTAACATAAAAACGGAGATAGGAATCCTTTCTAATTTTGACTTATTCACTAACCCACTTGAGATATATTGCGGTATCTTGTGCATTCAATGGAGTGCATCTCATTAGCCGGGGGGAAATTCTAACCACAAATCAAAATAAACAAGCCAAGGGCAACTTGGCTACCAGATGATAAGTTAGCACACATTTCTAGCGGCTGCTATCTGGTCAAAGCTAAAATGAAAAACAGGTTTTCTACTTTCTCACGCCAATTTCGTGAGCCATGAAAAGAGCAGTGAAATAAAACCGAAACATTGCTTATTTTTTGGCTTGAATCATTTGTTTATGTGTGGGCATTAAAGATACAAAGATCTGTCAAATAAATATACGATAAATTTCCGTTTGTAATGGGAAACCAAAATTACGTTGTCATTAATTAATAGACCCAAATGCATTAGGATGAAAGTAGCCAACAAAAAAATACAACCATTTTAATGGGAGCTAAAAATGGAATCCGACTAAAGTAGAGCCCTGTGATTAATGGGTACCAACTATTGCCGCACTTTGCATATTTTATGCAAAGCGAATAAGTTGCTAAAATCTATTGAATGCAAAACACTCGGTGCACAGATTAGCCAAAGCATAAAAGTGAATGTTGACGGGACACAAATTATGATTTGCGTAACAAAACTATTTTATTTTAATTTATTAATTCACACCATGAGGGATTTTGACATAGACGGCCTTTGTCCACTTCTATGAATAGTATTAGCAACCGAATCCTACCCCAAGCCCCGTCCGTCCGTAAATCCGTATCCCACATCCGTCAAATCGCATTGATTGGGCGATAAATGCCCCTGCGAGGCCTATCATTCGGTCATAGTAAATTCATTTTTAATTATTGGCCTAAAAATGATTCAAATTTAATTATGGGACACCTCGGGTTCACAACTATTTTGGGATGCCCCCGAAACCCAAGATAAGACCACCAATTTTTAATAAGCACTTGGAACGAATCGTCTTTTGCTCAAAAGCTGACAGTTTTACATGGGCTGTGGCACAAATATTGACAAATGATAGGGATCAATATCGGAAACAACTTAAGTGGATAATGTCTTATAAGTTTCGAGAAGATCAAACAAACATAATAATTAATTATGGTTACTCAAAAGCGAAATAACCAAATTTGTTTGGAATAAACTGGTGTAAAATAAAGCCTAACCTTTCCGTTATACCCAATTAAAAACACTTAACCATATTATTGACAGTAAACTGTAAACTATTCAATTTATTGATTAGATTTGCGTTTTACTCAAAATTCAGTAGATAATTATTCGATCCGGCTTATGCAACACGCGTGCTATACGAACTCAATCCATCGGTCTCACAGAAATGGTTGTTAAAATACTTGCTGCGGGCCAAGACAATATTTTGGCCCACAAGCATACACGTAGTACATAGGTCTAAAAAGCATGGTAATCATAAGAAGTTAAGGGACAAATGCTGTCGAACAGGTTGAGTGACTTTGGCCCTCTCACAAATTGCAATTCACATAGTTATCGAGTTCGATTTTAGTAGTTCAACAAGTGTTCAATTAGTTATTCTAGTTGTATGTATATATATATATATAGTATATATTTAGTATATGTTTCAGGCGTAATTGTATGTATGTAGATAATGTGTAAACTGTATTGGCGTTACAATGAGTTCCTCTCTTTAGGATCTAATAATCAAACAGCAGAGCAGAATTTGTTAAGTACAAAGATCCGCCATTCGCTTTGTAAGTTCTCTAAAATATTAATGTTTCCGATACACTCTCTATATATATATGTAGTTTTTAATATCACGTTCATCGTTTACACTTTTTGCTTGTTCTGTTACAATGTTTGTTCTGATTCTGCATCTATTTCTTCTGATCTCGATTGGAGTTTTAAACTACTTTAAGCCGATTTAACAATAGATATAGATATCTGTAAATATGTATTTAATATATAGAGCGAGACAAAGTAACCGACACTGGTGAAATTTTGAAAATTCCGAATGGGGACAATCCTTTTGGGTTGAAACGCCTATAATTTAGACATAAGACATAGACATTAAACACGCTTCCGGCGTTTTCTTCGGATTTAGCTGCCTTTTCACGGTTCGTGGCTTCGGACGAACTTTTCCAGCTGTCTGTGGAGCTGATTGTGGTAGGGTATTCGGTGTTTGCTGATCGCCGTCGCCGCCAAACACTGCAGCGTCACAAAGTTGAGCAGCGGAATGGTACTGGTGGGATTAGAGGCTATTAGGTCGTAGGGCCGCTTGTCGGCACGATTCGGCTGATCGATGTCCGCTCCGCACTTGAGCAATAAATGAACAATCTGTGGGTATAAATGGGCGATTAAATATATTTTTGTAAACTTTTCTTTTTGATTTCTGAATTATCTGCTAGCTTCTAAATATTGTAAGGAGACCAAATGATCCACTTACCTCATTGTCGTAGTTGTAGGGCTGGCAGGCTACGTGCAGGGGCGTGGATTTGGCTTCGTTCTTGATGTTGACATCGACACCGCACTGGATGAGCAGCTTGATGACATCCGCATTGGGGAACACAGTCTTCTAAGGATGATAATAGGGTCGTTTATTAAACAAGTCAAATGTTAATAGATGTTACGCACATCGGCAAAGTTGTCGTCAGTGATGTAGCCGCTCTTGATGACGTTCAGCCGCGAGGCGCAGAGATGGAGCATTGTGTCGGCGGTGCTGGCACTACGTAAATTGCCCACAACCACGGTCTCGTGTACCGCCTGGCAGATAAGTTTGTTCTGCGCCTCCGTGTGGACGGTATTGATCAGCAAATAAATAAGATGAGCCAAACACCTCATCACCCGGTCGTAGTTCTCCTGCTGCCTTCTAAAAACAGGCCTCAAGAGTAGCAGGTGCTTCACCACAATGGCGCTTTCCGCCAGGGTTCGAAAGACGCCGAGCACATCCTCAAACCGGGGCAGCACTTTATCCTGGTGCACGAACCTGGCTCTGGCATCGCTCCTTATGTGACTCGAGTTCTGAACATGTAGATCCAACATCAATCGCACCAGCGCCTGCGCTGCGAAACAAGTTTCAAAATGCAGGATGGACCAGTTTGACACGCGCACTTCGAGCAGGAACCGCCACAGGTCGATGCAGCGCTGAAGCTGGAGTGAATCCGCATACGAGGCGCCCCTGGAAGAAGAGATTCAAAAGTTAAAAAATGTTGCAGCCAGCTTATTCCACTTATTTTAATACTCACCTAAATGTTAACCGAAACAGCATATCCTTATGGGTCAGCCCCAGAACCCTCTCGCAAATGAGCAGGCTCTGGGTTCGCATCGCATCCATATCAGTGGCAATGTTGTCCAGTTCCTCCAGCGTACTAAACTCCACAGCATTCTCGTAGGCAGTGCGCAAAGGAACCTGTGGCTTCTTCTCAATATACGGAGAATATGCTGCCCGTATGTGATGTGCCATGCGCCAATGTAGGATGCACACCCGCGACTCGTTGTGCTCGTCCAGGAACGTCGATCCCATCAACTCGTGTGCCTCCGCCAGTCTGGCAGGCAAATAATTCAGCTCCTTCTTCAAGAAGTCGAAGATCTGATGAGCTCCCTTCAAGCAGGCAGTGCGAAGGGCATCGTCTCCGTTCCGACTCTTGGCATACGGGTCTGCACCCTGCTCGATTAACATCTTTGTGGTGTCCAGCCGATGCTCCTGGATTGCATAGTGGAGCGCCGTTTTGTCCTGAATGTCCCTTGCGTTAATGTCCGCTCCCTTGCGCACCAGATACAAGCACAACTGCACAGACTGCACCGAATTGATCAGACAGGTGCCGCCATTGATATTCGGTCGCTTGATATCCGCTCCGTTCTCCACCAGGAACTTGACTGTTGGGTTTAAGGAGGAATTTTTGTATTATTAAGTTTACTACAAGTTGACGGATAATTTTATTAAGGATTCCATTACCAATTTCTTATCTAACCTTTATTTTGAGAAATAGTTGTAAAGAACTAAGAATGAGAACGAATGAGAAACACTATCGAAGACTTCTTTTTCCGGAAAATTAAAAATTCAATTAAAAACTGTTGCCAACTTGTATTAAAATGATGAGTAATAAATTAAATATCAACTTTAAAAATGTATAACTTGGTTATACTAGCCCAATGGGATCCATTCTAAGAGGAATGAAACACCTTAGCACAAGCAACTTTCTCTGACCTAGTTTAATTTGTTATCATGCGAATTTCTATTGGCTAAAATAACAAAAAAACTAGTCAACATGAAAGCAGAACTATAAAAAGCATTGATACTTTGCTAATCAACAATTACAATTTTTTATACGTTCTTAAAGTTATGAAACGTAATTTAATTTGGTATCAATACAGAACATACGATTACATCGTGTGATTAAACCATCTGTTTATGGAACTTGTTAGTGCAGATTGTTTAAAAGTGGGAGTGTGTGTACAATTGCAAAGTTTTGAATTAAATGGACAAATTGCGTGTGAACGAATTTAATTGGAATGAGAACCTACGCTAAACAACACGAAGCACGGTCCGATTACAAAATTCCAAGACTACTACCTAAGCAATCTTGAATGCTAATCAATAATGGATAGCCCTCCGCCCCTTAAGATTGCTTTAAAAAGCTTTACTGTAGAGACCAATAATAATTACCGATATCAACGTGGGTCATGTAGCAGGCACTCCTCACGGGCGTCGATCCCGAATCGGAGGTGGCATTAATGTCGCATCCGATCCGCACAAGGTACTTGACCATGGAAAGTTTGCCAGAGACGACGGCTGCCCAGAGTGGCGATACATAGTGGAAGCTGTTATCCTCCGGCACCTCAAAGTGACCCCTTTGCTCAATGTCCGCCTCGCAGATGGTGATGAGATACTCGGCGATGTCCACGGCTCCTCTTTTGCAGGCAATGAAGAGGGGTGCGCAGCCATTTCGCTGCTTCCGCACCAACTCGCGACGGGAATCGCGGGGCAGCCTGAAAAACAAAATAATATTTTGAATTTCAACTAATGTTTATGTCTTTAAAGTCAATTATTATTTTCTGTGTAAGTTTAAGGGTAGAGAATCGGAAGCTTTCGATCAGCACGTGCAGGGGCAATGCTTTGGTGGGTACAATTATTGATAAGACGTCAAAACATTGGGAGCTTTTGGTAGAGATTCCAAACAAATGACTAGTCATTTCAGATTGCTGATTAGGAGCCTTTCAAATTTGAATGAAAAATGCAGATAAATATTTATGAACATTCTCCATTTCAACAATATAAAAAATAATTCATGCAAAGATATCAATTAGTACTCTTTCAATTAACAAATATTTTATATAATGAAACCGCATGATAGTTCAGTAAAGAAATATTTAATCGGTTTCCAAGAATATTATCTAATAAACATATCAGTTATTGCAGTAGCTATTTATCGGTTATCAAAATTATCTTTTGTATGTGCCTATAAAATTTAATATTATAAAAATTATTACAGGGCAATAGAAAGTTGTGTAAAATAACCTCGTCTACGATATGGCGTCATTGTAAATTATATGTCAGACGGATCGATTAAGACTTTTTCATTCTCTATGTGAGAAATTACTTGCTGTTTATAATTATGGTTGTAAAATACAGTGTAACTTTGACTTGCAGATGACCTCCCTACATAATTGATTATTAATGGTCCCTAATTTGCAATGTACATTTACTTCATTCACTTTATTTACAGAATAGGATATTTTTTGGCCACTTGATAACGAATTTATCTAGCTAACGATGCACACAAACCTTTCTTTCAAATGAAATGTAATGTACAGTGGAACTTTGGGAATGGACAAAAACTTTCTATTCCAACAAGCTACACAAACGACTTGTTCTATACAGAACACATAATTCTATGACTCTTTTTTACAGACATACTTTTCCAGCTCGTGGCGCAGGTGGCGCGACAGCAGCGAGTCCTCCTGGCTGCGCTTGCACTCCTCGATCAGCTCGTGACTGAGCTTGGTTAGCTCCACCTTGGGACTGCTCTGCTTGCGTTCGTTGGCCATCGATGGCCGTGCGACTGTCTGCTCCTGCTCCTGGCGGGGACTCCGATCCTGATCCTTATCCTGATCCTTGGCTTCCAGCTCCAGCTGCAGCTGCTCGACCTGTCGACGGCTGCCTTCAAGTGAGCGCATTGCCAGCGCACCGTCTCATTGCCAAACAAAATTGGTGGGTAGGTGGGTGGCTGTCTCTATATCCTTAGCAGTGGGCGTAGATTGTGGGGGCTGTGTGTTGGGGGCCTCCTCCCGAATGTCCTTGGGCCACTGCCCCCTTGCAAAAACGGTGCGGCAGTGACCTACTGAACCCACCAGCCTGGGCTACTTAATTGGGTTGCTTCGCGCTGCTCCCGTTTTTCGCCCAAGGCCGTCGGAGCACTTTCTTTTTCTCTCTCTGTATCTCTGCTTGGTTGCCTTTCCTTTCCTCCGTCTCTTCGAATCAATTTCTGTGCAGCGTGCAACTTGGGTGCATAATCTTTGGGGCTCCTTGGGCGATTTTCGCAATTGGCAATTGCAAAAGTTCAAATGAAACAACAACAAGTGCGGTGTGGTGTGTGTGTGGCCGAGTGTCGGTGTGGTGTGGGTGTCTGGCTCACGGTTCACACCATGTTTTCCCGTCTTTTCTGTTTATTTCTGTTTATAAATAAAAAGTCAGCAACTCTTAAGTCAAAACAGTCAAAACAGTGTGTACAATGACAATATCCGAAACAGCTGCTGCTGCAAAACGTAAGAAAAACGTAAGTGTCGGCAAAACGTAAGGCAACGTAAGTGTCAGTAAAAAAGGGAGACAGCCTCAGCGTAAGTGTCAGTAAAAAAGGGAGACAGCCTCAGCGTAAGTGTCAGTAAAAAAGGGAGATGCAAGATGGAAGATGGGGAATAAAAAGTCAGCAAATCTTAACGCCAAAACAGTGTGTACACAAAAAATGGGGAATGACAATAACCGAAACAGCTGCTGCAACAGACGACTGTTGGCCATAACAGAGCGGCAGGGTTGTCGTTCATTAAAATAGTAACCGATTTTTAAGCCAACTATCGCATAAAAGTATTTTCAATTTCATGTGATTACTTTTAATTTTTATGTACATAAATCAAATTTATATATAAATGAGTTTACTTTATCAATGTTTTTTTATTTTAATATTGAATACAACGTTTGCTGTAAGTAAGTTCACAGTATATCAAAATTATAGAGCTTTTTTGAACCCGCTACAACTGATTCTTTTTATTTTGTTTTTATATTAAACTCCTTTTATAAATAATTTTTTTGACATAACAGATTTGATTTAAAATGTACCAAAAACTGTGACTTGAAGCGATAGCTGTAGTCGGTATTGAAACAATAAATATTTTATCGATACCCGCATCTCTGCCAGTAACCTTATCGATATATGGCAACCCTGTTTTCAAAGCCACAGCAACAACGACGCGCTGCCTGCAAAAAATAGCCATTATTTGTGTTTGTGTCTCAAAATTGTGAAATAAAACCAAATGGAATCTCCGGCGATCAATGATATTGCAGCTGGCATGGGTGGTGAGAAGCTGGAGGTCTTCCGGAAGCTGAATCTCCTGGAACAGCATCGCGTGGAGAGCTTCAAGAGTTGGCCCTTTCCAGATACGGCTTTGTGCAGCATTTCAAAGGCAAGAATGAATGGATTAAATATCTGAAATACCGATCAGAGCTCATAACAAATATTACTCAACAGATGGCCGAGGCGGGATTCTATTGGACGGGCACAAAGCGGGAAAATGATACCGCCACTTGCTTTGTGTGCGGGAAAACGCTCGATGGCTGGGAATCTGAGGATGACCCGTGGAAGGAACATCGCAAACATGCTCCTCAGTGCGACTTCGCCAAGCTATCGTGTCCCGAAAAGAATTTAACTGTGAGTTCCCAAACCCTGAACCCACATACCATCCTATAACTTGGTACATCCCTTTCATAGGTCTCTCAATTCCTCGAAATACTTGGAACTGTTGTAAAAGGCAGCATAGAGAAAACCTGCAAAGCCTTCAAAGCTAGCTTCATTCGGGAAAACGAGGAGCGTCTAAATGAGTTTACGCACAATCAAAAATAGAACAGTAATATTTAAAAATTTTTAATATATATTTAACCCTTTGTTTATAAAGATTTGCTAATAAAACGGGATGTTTATGCCATAATAAAAACAAGTACTAACTAAAAAACAATATTAGTTAGTAAAAGAATAGATACACTTTAAATTGGCTTGGTTAAGGACCAAATCCTTAATCACCATTAATCAGCCAAGTTACTCCAGTCTACGGTCATACTTAAACTTCAGTAAGGAACAGCTGTTCTAAAACAAAACTAGTAAACAAATCAAAAGCAGTTCAAGACTAACCATACATATATAGCACTTTGGACTGCGTAAACGGTTAGATTAAACGACATGTTAAAACGAAAATTAAACCAGCAAAAAGATAATCTGGAGGATGTGGAGCCCAAAAAATCATTTCCAAATGAAGAAAGTACCATATCCGATTTCTTCATCCAGCCTCTGTGGTTAAAATTCTATAATACTGAGGTCAAGTTGAACGAGTTGCTAGAAGAACTGACCCCCCCTCCGAACATTAAGTGCATCTACAACCCCATAGTGTATGCGTCACAACTGCACTGTGATTATGTGCGACGGTATTTGAGTGGTCCGAAAAAGCTAGTGTTTATTGGGATGAATCCAGGACCCAATGGAATGGCTCAGACGGGGGTAAGTGTGTGTTATGATACGTATATCCTTGCAGTTGATATTATGTATCTTATTGAGTATTTAAATATCCTACTTTTCAGATACCCTTTGGCAATGTGCGCACTGTAAAACTCTTGTTGCAACTGTCAGGATCTGTGGACAAACCTCCTGTCGAACATCCCAAACGTCCTGTTTTGGGCTTGGACTGCAAGATTGAGGAGCCCAGTGGTGTTCGTCTGTGGGAGTTATTTCTGCGATTGGCTGGAAACGTAAACATCTTCACCCAGCAGTGCTTTGTGCACAATTTTTGTCCTCTGGCCTTCTTCGATGAAGCGGGCAAGAACCTAACGCCCAGTGAATTGAAAGGACCTTACAAAAAGCAGCTGCGGGAATATTGTTTGGAAACACTTGAGGAGCAATTGGTTCTACTTAAGCCCCAAGTTCTTGTGGCTGTGGGGGAATATGTTCATACCGCATTGAAAGGATCAAGGTACTGCAAATCGGATTCCGTTTCTGTCCTTCGGCTGCCTCATCCAAGTCCTCGATCTGTTAATAATAACGATTGGCCGAATAAGGCTCGAGCTTTTCTGGAGGAGAACAACCTAATCCGCTTTTTGCGGAATGAAGCTTAAAACACAAAATGCATCAGGGATGCATTTAAAAACACATACGTTTTTGTAGGGCTTACAAATTGGCAATACTCAATTACTCTTTATCGGCTAAGAAACCAAAGTACAAATTTTCTAATCTTTATAATCTTAATGAAACTATTTGATAAAAAAATGGCTCTTCTAAATGTAAGCATTCATATATGATTAAGGGGTACACATATATATATAATCATTTTCAAAGCTTAATATAATAACCCAGAAAACCAAAAAAAAATGTTTTTAATTTTAAAATACAAAATGCTTCGATGCCAATATTTAAATAGGTTTTTTTATAGTTGCTTAATTTTATAAATTTTTGTAGTACAAATAAAATTTATTTTTATGATCTTAGAATATTGAATTTTAAAAAAATTGGGAGTACCCCAAATATTTATTGAGGGTGATTTCGCTGTGTCACTGTGACCGCTCCCGTCGTGACCGTTCACCGCCAGCTGTTGCTCAGTGTTGCAAAACGCCGCCAGAGTGAGAGCTGTTCCGAAGTCGCCTTTTGTTTTTGTTGACCTGGTCATCCATCTGTGTGCGGCTTTTCACCCAGTTCGCCCGAGATTATTTCCATGCCAAATGGCCGCCTTTATGGAGGAAGCGTTGGTGGAGGCACGGCGAGCACGTGACGCCGGCGAGGTGCCCGTGGGCTGTGTTTTCGTTCATGGAGACAAGGTGGTCGCACGTGGCGGGAACGAGGTGAACATCCACAGGAACGCCACCCGACATGCCGAGTTCATTTGCATCGACGCGATCCTGGCCAGCTGTCGCGAGAGGCGTCTTCCCGCGCGTCAGTTGTTCAGCGAGATTACCGTGGTGGTCACCGTGGAGCCCTGCATCATGTGCTCCGCTGCCCTCCACACGCTGGGGGTCAAGGAGATCATCTATGGCTGCGAAAACGATCGCTTTGGTGGCAAGACAGTGGTGGACGTGGCAGCCGTCGTTGGCCAAAGGATCGATATCACGGGCGGAGTTCGAGCGGATGAGGCGATGGCCCTGCTGAAGGAGTTCTACAAGGGCGACAATCCGGCGGCACCGCCACAGGCCAAGAAGAAGAAGTAGGATGAGTCAGGGAAATTGCCAACCACTTTCGGGAAATGGGGTAACTAATAATCAAGTATTTGAAAAAGAAGTCAATATATATCATTGCTTTCAGGAGCAGGTATGGAGTTACCGACAAACCCTCAAGGAAAGAGGGTAGCTGCAACAGTTCGTGGATCATAGAACCTTCGAGAACTTACCCTAAAGAAGATAAGGTAGTTAGCCCCCAGAGGTAAAGAAGATCAATAGGTAGAGAAACTGTGAACCTTCGGTTAAACTAACTATTTCCCGACCAAAAAATTCCTGGGAACCAAAAATTTCCTGAAATCCATAGCTTAAACCTACAAAAGGGGCAAAACAACCAACTTATTTATTTTATAAAAGAAAATTAAGTGTTCCACTATGAAATGGAGTTTGCTTCCGTTAAGAAAAAGTAGTTAGCAAAGAAACTACATCCATTGGCATCCTGGAAAATAGCACCGAGAGTAAAATAAGTTACACTGCATCATTCTTCGACGATTTTTGTATATGTTTCAATTTATTATAAATTTTAAGCATAGTCTAAGATATATATATTATTGTATATGGCGTTCAGAACGTATGTTTAAACTCTAAACAATACAATTACTGCATAATAGCTACAACATTTACGTGTGTGTAGTGAAGGCTGTGCCTGTTTCCACTATAGGAAGACTACTCAAAAAACCTTTTGTTTCCTTTTCAAATGCGTAAAGTGCAGTCTCGCAGTCCGACACCAAGAATAGTTAACCCTCCAACAACCAAAGCTTCGGGACAATTTATATACTTCAATCGGAGACTTGACATTTCAATACTATAAGTTGAAGCTTTGTACTTAAGTTTAGAATTGTTTTCTTTTATGTTCCTTTTAAGCTGTATATGTTGGAGGGGTAAACCCGGTCTTAACCTACTGTAATTTCCCTACGTCCTAAGCTAACTCTTCTGTTCGATCGTTTGCTGTGCCAGCCTAGTACAAAGATGTGAATCCCGGGCTGGCGCAGCAAACAAACAATGGCGGGCTACTAAGCGAATCTAGACTAAATCTAATTAAATGCGCATGCTGCGGCGTCTATGGCCAATGTTGAGCCACTCCAGCGGCACATTTCCGCCCACATTGTAGGTGGTTGGTGTGCAGTTGAGCAGCTTTCGGGCGGGTTCGCATCGACGGCTCACGTTCCAGTAGGCGAATCCCTGCGGGCAGCGGTGGATCTGACCCTCAATGCGTCCCGTCTGCTCCGAGAATCCGCACTTGACGAACAACTGGCCGCACTGGTCATCGTTGAGCGCGAAGTGACCCTCATCCGGGCAGAGAGGGGCTGTCGAGCTGATTTGTACCTATTGGTGGGATACAATTAGATAATATTAACGGATTTGATCCAAGAAATTTTCTGGACTTTAAATAGGAGGATATAAGGACCGCTTTGCCCATGACTTACCACATTCTGAAGCTTTGATTCCTGTTCGAACAAGGTCCTCTTCATGTCCTTTAAGCATTTGTCACCCGCCTGGGGTTTGCCACAGCTGCAGGTCTTGTCCTGGTAGACAGTTCCATTAGGACATTGGAACACCACAATGTTTAGATCGTTGCTATCCGAACTTTCGCTGCACTGGTAGAACATGCCACACTTCTCCGGATGCTGACGGAATCCAGTAGGGCAGACGTACGCATTCTGTCCAGGACCGGTAGTGGGGCAAGGGGCGGAGGTGTTGGTGCCGGGAGTGGGAATCTCAGTGGTGGTTGGGGCTTCAGTCGATGGCTGATTGGTTGTGGTTTCTTCACCACTTGTGGTGGTTGTCTCTGGCCTGGCTGATGTAGTGGTGGTTTCAGGAGGTATGGTGGTAGTGGTTCCAGGACTAGTGGTTTCAGTGCTTCCAGAAGTAGTGGTTACGGGGGTAGTTCCACTGGTAGTTGTTTCCGATGTTGGCGTGGTGGTGGTCTCAGGAGCTCCAGTTGTAGTGGTTTCGGGAACTTTGGAAGTTGTTGTTTCAGGAACTTTAGAAGTTGTTGTTTCCGGAACTTTAGAAGTGGTTGTTTCAGGAGTTCCAGAACTTGTTGTACCTGGTTCCGTGGAAGTCGAAGGCGTAGTCGTCTGTCCAGATGAGCAATTTCCCGACACTTGATCGGCATAATTGCAAGTTTCGGTGGATACGTCCCAAACAGTTCCCTTACCGCACTTAAAGGCATAAACCTTGTACTTGCCATTCTTGGCCGCATCTACACAGCGGTAATAGCGACTGCAGTCTTCGGGATCGGGGAAGAATCCCTCGGCGGAGCAGTTATAGTTCGGCTGTGGCTCAGGCTGAATGGTGGTCGAAGGACCTTCTGGTGTGGTGCTTTCTGGGTTTTCCGTAGTTGTTGTCGGTTGAGGTGAGGATGTGGTAGTGGGTTTTTGAGGGGCAGTGGTGGTGGTAACAGGCTCCATGGTTGTTGTGACAGGTTCTGCGGTGGTGGTTGGCTTATAACCAGGTGTGGAGGTTGTAGTTTCAACTTGAACTGGCGTTGTTGTTGGGTTATAGCCGGGAATATTTGTGGTGGTAGGTTCCTGTGTCGTTGGTTTCATTGTCGTCGTGGGTCTCTGTGGTTTTTCTGTTGTAGGTTCTGATGTAGTGGTTGGCTTTCCGGGATTTTCGGTCGTCGTGGGTTTCTCTGTTATAGGTTCTTCTGTGGTGTTTGGCTTTCCGGGATTTTCGGTCGTTGTGGGCTTCTGGGGTTTTTCTGTTGTCGGTTCATCTGTGGTAGTTGGCTTTCCGGGATATTCAGTCGTCGTGGGTTTCTGCGGGTTCTCCGTGGAAGGTTCTGTGGTTGGTTTTGTGTTGGGCTTTGTAACTGTTGTAGGTTCATCCGTTGTTTGTGGAGTTGTACTTCCAGGGTCTTTGGACTCTTCACTTGGTGTCGTAGTCTCCGGCTCTGCAGGTAACTTTGAGCATCTCGGTATGTTCTGCATGTAGTCACAGGTCTGCACTTCTTCATTCCATCCAGTACCCTTGGGACACGTGAAATTGTACTTTCTGTAGGAGGCTCCAGCGTTGATGCAGCGGTAGTATTTCCTACAGTCTTCGGGATCGGCCATGTAACCCTCTCCTGTGCATTCAGTTCCAGCCGGTAGGGGTTTCATAGTGGTTGTAGAAGGTGATTGCGTAGTGGTTTCCGGATTTGGTGTCATCGTTGAGGTTTCGGTTTCCGAACTGATTGTTGATGTACTAGGCGGTATTGTAGTGGGGGTACTGGTCGGTGTTTCTGTGGTCGTTGTGGGTGGCAAACGTGTTGTTGTAGTGGGAGGTAATCCAGTTGTAGTGGGAGGTAACCCCGTAGTTGTAGTGGGAGGTTGCCCAGTTGTTGTAGTGGGAGGTAAATCAGTCGTGGTAGGGGGTAGATCAGTTGTGGTAGGTCGTGGTGTGGAGGTTACAGGTTTCTGAGTGGTCGTTGTTCCATTGGTTGTTGGTTCGCAGGGAGGTTTCGTTGTGGTGGATTCCGTGCCAGTGTTACAATTGTTAAAATTGTGGTTGCAGGTCTGCAGGTCTTGATCCCAAACGGTACCAGCACCACATTGGAATGGGATTGGGGTGAAGCCACCTTTGTTATTCCTAACACAGCGATAGAACTTGGAGCAGTTGCTGGGATCAGCCATAAAGCCTTCTGAGTTACATTTACCATCGGTGTTGGGTGACTGAGTAACAGGAGATGTGGTTGGAGAGGATGGAGATGTGGAAGGAGAGGAGTTTGTTGGTCGGGTGGTAACAGGACGTGAGGTACTAGATGGATCTGAGGGTCCCGATGTGGAAGATGGCCCTGAAGGTCTGGATGTGGAAGATGGTCCAGAAGGTCTTGATGTGGTTGTTGTTGATGGTCTGGGGGTGGTGGATGGAGGAGGAGTCGGAGGAGGAGCAACGCCACCGCATTCCTTTACAGCCCAAGCATGGTTACAGGCCTGAAGTTGGGCATCCCAAACAGTACCAGGGCCGCAGCTGAAGGCCACCATATTAAAACCTCCCCTATCATTATCCACGCAGCGATAAAACTTGGAACACTGTGTTTTATCTCCAATAAATTGTCCATTGACCTTGCAACTTTCCGATGGATTTGGTTTTAAGGAAGTTGAGCTGCTGCTTGAGGAGGATGAATTAGAGGACGATGAGGATGAGCCTTGGTTATTGTTGTTGCTTGAAGAAGATGAAGATGATGACGATGAAGAAGTCGATCCATTTCCGGAAGAGTTGGAACCAGAAGAGGAGCCACTATTGGACGAGGAGCCTTGATTGGATGATCCACTGTTGGAAGATGATCCACTGTTTGAAGATGATCCAGTATTGGAGGTCGAGCCAGTATTGGAAGATGATCCACTGTTTGAAGAAGATCCAGTGTTGGAGGAGGAGCCAGTGTTGGATGAAGAACCAGTATTTGATGAGGATCCACTGTTGGAAGAAGTGCTGTTAGACGAGGAACCACTGTTGTTGGATGAGGTTCCGCCTTGATTGACCACTTTTTTGCACTTAAGGGGCTTGGTCTGGATCTGATCGGGGTGATTGCAGCTGTTGGCCTCAGGGTCCCATAGAGTGTTTGGTGGGCAGGTGAATGACACTTTTGTAAATCCACCCTTACCATTATCAACGCAACGATAGAACTTGGAACAGTTTTCTTTGTCATCCAGGAAAGTTTCCTCACTCTCACATTTCTCAGCGGGCTTGAAAGGTTTCTGCGTGGTGGATGCTGAAGATCCTTCAGTAGTAGAGGATGAAGTCTGGTTAGAAGAAGAAGACTGCTGAGAGGACGATGTTTGATTGGATGAGGACTGGTTGGATGAAGATCCCTGATTGGAAGAAGATCCTTGGTTGGAAGATGATCCCTGGTTTGAGGAAGAGCCTTGGTTTGAGGAAGATCCCTGGTTTGAGGAAGAACCTTGGTTCGAGGAAGATCCCTGGTTTGAGGAAGATCCCTGGTTTGAAGAAGAGCCTTGGTTTGAGGTAGATCCCTGGTTGGATGAAGATCCCTGGTTGGATGAAGATCCCTGGTTGGAGGAAGATCCTTGGTTTGAAGAGGAGCCCTGGTTGGAAGAAGAGCCTTGGTTGGAAGAAGATCCTTGGCTTGAGGATGATCCTTGGTTTGACGAGGACCCTTGATTCGATGAAGATCCCTGGTTTGATGAAGATCCTTGGTTCGAGGAAGATCCCTGGTTGGAGGAAGATCCTTGGTTTGAAGAGGAGCCCTGATTGGAAGAAGAGCCTTGGTTGGAAGATGATCCTTGGTTGGAAGACGATCCCTGGTTGGAAGAAGATCCTTGGTTTGAGGACGAACCCTGATTGGAAGACGATCCTTGGCTTGAGGAAGATCCCTGATTGGATGAGCCACTACCATTGGCCATTGCCTTGCACTGCTCCTTTTGCACATCCGTGGGATGGTTGCAGCCCTTTGTATCGGGATCCCAGACCGTTCCCGGTGAGCAATCGAACGGAACCTTATCGAAGCCACCGTTTCCATTCTCTACACAACGATAGAATCGGGCACAGTCTTTTTTATCTGCCAAATATGTTTCCGTATCCTGGCAGCTACCATCCGGATTGGAGGGCTTGGGAGTCGTTGATTGAGTGCTGTTGCCTGATGAATTGTTATTGGAGCTCGAGCTTTGATTGTTGGATGACGAAGATGAAGACGAACCTTGATTGGAGGACTGATTATTCGATGAGCTTTGATTGTTGCCTTGATTGGATGATTGGTTGCTTGATGAGCCTTGGTTGCTGGATGATCCTTGATTGCTGGAGGAGCCTTGATTGCTGGAGGAGCCTTGGTTGCTGGAAGAGCTCTGGTTGCTTGAGGATTGATTGCTTGACGATCCTTGATTGCTGGATGAGCCTTGATTGCTGGACGATCCTTGATTGCTGGACGATCCTTGATTACTAGATGATCCTTGATTGCTAGATGATCCTTGATTGCTAGATGATCCTTGATTGCTAGATGATCCTTGATTGCTAGATGATCCTTGATTGTTGGATGAGCCTTGATTGCTAGATGATCCCTGATTGCTGGATGAGCCTTGATTGCTAGATGACCCCTGATTGCTGGATGAGCCTTGATTGCTAGATGAGGTCTGGTTGTTTGATGATTGATTGCTAGAAGAGCCTTGATTGCTTGAGGAGCTTCCACTAGATTGCTGTCCAGAGCTGCCACTGGATGTTCCCGATTGGATGTTGCATTTCTTCTTTTGATCTTCAGTGGGCAGATCGCAAACCTTATCTTCTTGGTTCCATACGGTGCCGGGTCCACAGGTAAAAGGCACTTGTTCCAATTTTCCATTCTTATCTAGACGACATCTGTAGAATTTAGCACAATCTTCTTTGTCGGGGATGTAAGTATTTTCATCTTCGCATTTTGTAGGCGCGGGCTTACTAGATCCACTGGTGGTTTGATTGGCCGAGGAGTTCTGATTGCTGTTCGAACTGGAGGATTGGTTGTTCTGGGAACTCTGATTGTTGCTGGAGGATTGATTGCTGCTAGAGGATTGGTTGCTACCGGAATTTTGACTGTTGTTGGAGGATTGGTTGCTGCCAGAGTTTTGATTGCTGCCAGAGGATTGGTTGCTACCGGAATTTTGACTGTTGTTGGAGGATTGGTTGCTGCCGGAGTTTTGGTTGTTGCCAGAGGATTGGTTGCTACCGGAATTCTGAGAGCTTTGGTTACTGTTTGAGGATTGGTTACTTCCTGAGCTTTGACTGCCACCAGAGCTTTGGTTCTGGTTACTGCTAGAGGATTGATTGCTTCCAGAATTTTGGGAGCTTGAACCCTGGTTGCTGCTTGAGCTTGTGCTAGACTCCTGGTTGTTGCTAGATCCGGAGTTGGACTCCTGATTGTTGCTAGATCCTGAGCTAGACTCCTGATTGTTGCTGGATTCGGAGCTGGATTCTTGATTGTTGCTAGATTCCGCACTGGACTCCTGATTGTTGCTAGACGAGGAGCTCGACTGCTGATTGCTGCTGGATGTGGAGGACTCCTGACTGGAGCTAGAATTGGACGTAGAACTAGACGTAGAGCTGGAGCTTTGCGTGGAATTTGAGGAACTGGAAGTGGAGGAGCTCTGCTGGCTGCTTGAGGTGGAGTTCTGGTAACTGGTCTGCGAGGATTGTGTTGACGTTTGGCCGGCGTAATAACCGTCGTTCTGGGGGACCGCTTGATTGCGACATCCACCATTGGCACGTACGTCAAACATGTGGTTGCAGGACTGCAGGGATTCATCCCACGCCGTGCCATCGGAGCAGCGGAAGCCGATTTTGTTGTAGCCCCGACCATTCGAGATGCAGCGATAAAACACGGTGCAGTCGCTGGGATCGTTCATGAAGCCATCATCCCGGCATATTACCCCCTCCGCCTCCTCGGGGCCAACAGCTCGCAGGGATGATGAGCTGGAAAAGGATATGACAGAGACACCGCTGAGACCTGCCATGCCATAATTCGTGGGTAGCCGATGGGTGGAGGCGTAGGTTCGCAGCTCATTGGCCGCAGGTGTGACGGCCAGGTTAAGCATCGCATTATGGTCATCCTCTCCGTAGTCGTCCTGTTCCCACTTCTCCATGCTGCTGCCGTCGTCCACCTCGTTCACCTGGTCCACGCACTCATCCCGGCCAGCCATCGCCGGTGGCAGACACATTCGCAGGGAGCGCGAGAAGACCGCATCCTCGGGACAGGCCAGAAGATAGGGCTGGATGTACTGGCCCGAACGCCGCTCGCAGCGGTAATAAATCCGGCAATCGTAGTCGTCCGCAAACAGACCTTCTCCAGGACAGTAAAAGGCCACGTCTGTCTGGTCCATCGACGAGGGAATGTCTGAAAGAAATACGAAATTCAAAGATATTACAACATTTTGCCATTTTATTAAAGTAGTTAAAAATATGGGTACTAATACGATCACCACACACAAGTTTAATAATGAATCAATGAGTTATCAGGTATGTTTCGATTTTACGTTAAAGATCTTAAGAGGCTTAAGGTAAACCACTTATGTTTGGGAACTATTTTCTATGAATTTATGGTCTTAAATGGCATTACCTACAAAATGGTATTTCCTTACAAGACTTGGAAATCAATTCTCGAAAATGTTATGAGTCTAGATATAGAAAAGTTGTATACTGCTACTATTTTCCAAACACTATTCCGAGCTAAAATATATAACAAATCGTTTTGACGTTATCAATGAGTAAAGAAATGCATGACAAATTAAATAAAAATGCATTTTTATTTAATAAAATATTTGTAGATATAAAAAATGCACTTGGCCCTTTCCCTAATTTGTTTTCGAACTGGAGAGTATCAATCTACAAATTAGCATACTTTTTTGGAACATGCATATACACATGCTATGGCCAGGCAATTTGAAATCGCCCGCTGGAACAAACCATTGAACTGAAACTTCCTGTCACAAATTCTCTCGACTGCATATATTACATACATATTTATAGTACATGTATGTCGAACACATCTATCTACATACATTTTGCTCAATTTCGTTTGACATTTTCCGCGCTCGTCTTTCGTTTTTCGTTGCGGGATTTTTCGCGCTGTCAAAATAAAATTGATAATTTATTGTCATTCAATGGGCGAGAGTCCTCTTTTTTGAATATTTTCCTTTTTGGTTTTTTGTTATTTTTCTCGTTATTTGGTGGCGGCATACGCAGACTTTGGCTTCCAATAAATTTAAATGCATTTATGGCCGTTACAGCGGAACAAATTCATTTTGAAAATGAATTGTGAGTATGTGTTTTTCTTTGGGCCTGTTTTCATCCAGCTTTTTTGGGCTTTTTTAAGTGCTGTTTGGCTGTGAACATTGTAAATGCGCGGCTAAAAATTAGACCGGGTCTGGGCATAAATTCACATCAGTCACTGTCTAATATATTTGATTTCGCTTTTTTTCACCCCGCCCTTTCCTTTCCTGTTGTTATTATCGGGGCTTGTAAGCCTTGGCCAATGGTTTATGGTCTAAATGGCCGGAGGCCATATATTTCTTATGAAAATTGCCAAATTTAATGGCCATAAAATTTAATTATACCAAATGTGGTTAGGCGGCACAGCCGAGAATGTTCATTTGGGCAAAAAGTGTGTCAGATTGATGGAAACTTTCAGTGATAGGTGAATGTATGCTTCAGTTTGTATAAAAATAAATTGCAAATAAATGGGTGGTAAGGGAAATGTTTTGGTCAATAAAAATAAATTAAAATGAATAGATATAATGGAAAAATACAAAGGGGTAGTATCTGGGAAACAAGTTTATATAGGAAGTACTGTGTTCTTTGAGTTTTCACTATTTTGAATTCTTATTAATTCACTGAAAAATTCTCTTGTAATATTAAATTAAATATTTATTTTACAAAATAACTTGATAACTATTTAATAACACCTTCCATTGCTATTCACTATTGTGAATTATAAATTGTATATTTAGTATTCATAATAAATGCAAATGATTAGAAAATTGTAATTAATTTAACTAGAAAATTTATAATTTCTCTAAGCTAAATTCATTTCTGAATAAAATTCCTAAATAGGGCAAATTTTACTTAAATTCTTAATGACCCCTGGTATTTACACGCCCATTTGCATCGATGGCAAAGCGCTTAAATTTAAAATGTAACCTCTTGCCTGGCCGCAGCCGAAAATCCAGTAAACTAATTTAATAGAACGCCTCACAGCACACGGCTTGGCCCGCTGCTCGTTGGCAAACAAACATAAAGTTTCAATTTGTACACGAAAGCCCAAAAATGCTAAACCCATTACACAGATGGCGGCGAAGGATGGAGATGTGTGTGGTTGCCGTTTGTGTGGGTGTGTGTGGAGGATCCTTTTCGTCCTTGTCCTCCAGCGATGAGGGAAAATTGACCGTTTTACGATTTTAATTATATATGATGTGTACTTTAGAACTTATGCAAAATGAAACGAAAGGAGAGCGCGGCAATGCGACCGCAAACTTATGCGTGGCCGTTGCCCCACCGAAAGGCCCCAGTATCCTCTATAATATATATTTATATATATAAATGTATATATACCCACTGGCATCTGCCAACCGGGAGCAGGCGTAACATGGTTAGCCACAATCTGACCGCAGAGCATGGCCGCAAATAGTTTCGGATATGCCATTGCCACTGCCACCACGCAGCACCCAGAAACACCCATTAAGCCGCCCAAAAACAGTAGTGCCCCCCCTTCCACTACCCATTGCATTAAAATTTCAATTTTCAACATTTAAGCACGTTACGGTTTACGAAAATTTAGTTATAAAAGCATGTATAAGTACACGTTCACTGTGTGCAATTTTCCTCTTTCCTTTATTTTCCATTTTTTTTTTGGGCTATATAGGCATAATTTTCATGGCCCAGCCAGCTGGCGAAAATGACAAATTGTGATTTCTATTTTTCACTCTATTTTTCCTTGATAATTAAATATTTATTGAGCGGCTGGTTTGTGCGGTTTGCTGTTTTGCAGACCCCATCCATCCAGCTGGCTGTCATTGAGTTTGCTTCGTTGAACAGCAATGTCTGTTATTTAAATTTTCATTTGACAGATAGAAAATCTTCCAAATGACCAACTGTAATATCAAATTTTATAGTTGTTTGTTTTGGAGGTTCCACAAAATGCCAACTGGGGACGCTTAAGCGTTCCATTGTCGCTTGGGGCAGTTTTCGGTGTGGTGTGTGTATTTTGTTTCAAGAAGCCAAAGCAAATGTCCCTTAATTAGTCATTAAAAGTTTCGTCATTATATTCTGTGCTCTATTTTGTTGCGTCTTTTTTTGTGATACCACTACCGCAGGAGTTTTGTAATTTAACTTGCCCTGATAGTGAATTAAAGGTGTGAAAGGGGAAAATTGGTGGAAATTTAAATCCTTTCTTTGGTGTTTTTTAACCTATATAATATTGCATACGAAATAATGTATAAAAAGGTGTTCCTTAAGGGTTTTAAATCAAAAACTTCCCTTTCAAAAATATTTAAAATTTAAACCCAATACTTTAGCTCCGTTCCTTATTGATCGTTTATAAATACGTTTTCTTAGGTTTTCCTTTCCGAACTACGAACTTTACCATCTGTTTTAATGATTTTAGTGACTTGATTCTATTACTTGGCTAAGAGAGTGCAATGGAAAAGGGGAATTCAAATGTCAGTTAGCAGCTTGACATTAGCCGCCTGTCGCTTCCTTTAATATCCTTCACTCTGGGTCTGTTTTTCTCCATCTGTCTCTATCGCTATCGCTGGCCCGCTCCATCTGGGAAACTCCCCGGGGCCTTGTAGTTGCAAGTTGTAAATATGATATTTGGATTTTTGAGCTTTCGCCCATCGTCGGGCTGGCAACTCGGTAATTTCATTTGCCTCTGGTGGCATTTTGCGCCTGTGTCTTCATGTTGAAACGAGCGAGGTTGTCGTACGTGTTGGCCGGATAGTCCGGAATCTGGAGTCCCGGATGGTGGGGTATACGTATTTTCGTTTCAAGTGCATGTTTATGCCACGCCCATTTCATTCGGTTCCGCCTGCCCCGCTCAAATTTCATGGTGGCAAATGACCAGCTACAGGAAATTCAATTTATTATGCAGCTTGACAGTTTTTAGCCATTCTCTCTCTAAGATGACAGCTGTTTCTACTGCTCCAGTTATGAAACTGAGAAGAAATCCATTCTATTCCATCTGTTAATTTTTGATGTTTTTGAGAGATTCTACATCAACCCTTTTTTAAACTTATAAAAATCTGTTTTAAATCTAAAAAAGAAAGGGATTTATATATTTTTATAATTTATAAATACTATTTTTTTGTATTTTCAAAAACTTTGATATGAAAATATTAATATATGTACTTTGCATGTGTCGGTTTTTTGTTGTATTTATAAAAATATTTTAAAAATTTACAGAGTATCTATATTTGCTTTCTTTATAATTTCTCTCTGTGTACTACTACTTCTTTTGCTGATCCTGTGCTGCTGCTTTCTGACAGCTCCAGTGGATGAAAATGAAACAGAAAATAAAAATGAGTGAACTTCTCGCTAATTCTGGCATCTGTCGGGCTTCATTTTGGAGTCTCCTTTGAATTTTTTTTTCTATTCAAGCACCGATTTCGAATGCGATGCGCCAGATGCATTTGAATTTCGCGCTGCGCTGCGCTCGAGCAGATTTTAATATTGGCAAACGTCCTTGAGGGCATCGATTGTTCCCTAGGAATTTCGCTTTGGCCAGCAGTTCCAGTCATTACTCATACGCAGCGTGTGACACAATCGCCACTATGCATTATTCATGGCGATGCGGCTACGCTGGATAAACTTGTCGGAAAAGCTGCCGACAGCTGGCAGGAAAATGTTAAATATTTAAATGCCTTTGCCATCCCGCAAGCCCCTTTCTCAATAACCATCTATCCCTCTCTCTGTCGGGGAATTGCCTTTAACTAGGAGCAATTAATTTGAATTTGAACTATTTAGAGGCACCCCCGCACTCATGGCAGAGGGGGCGTGGCGGATGGGAGGGCGGTTAACTGGGTTCTGGGTTCTGGGTTCCAGGACCAGCCATCCTGCCGGTAAATTAAGCATAAAGCGCTTTTAGTTACAATCACGTTCGTCTCAATTAAACTACATTAAATTCAATTAGCAGGCAACAGGAACACGAAATGAAAGCAACATTGTCATTACGGTTTCAGGCAAAAGCATCTCAGGTGCACTGAAAAAAGACGGTGTTTATGAGGTAGAAATTATGATTATGTAGCTTCTTAGCATTTTTATGACTATTAAATAAAGATTATTATAATGTTTCTGATTTTCTAGGATGATTTAAAAACAGTTAAATGAAAAAATGAACCAATT